TTTAGTGTCACAGTGTCAGGTCTTGTGATAATCAGCATTGACTTTTCAGCTTTCTTGGTCAGTTCCAAGTTGTCAGAAGAATCAATGTCTTCTATGGTGCTTGAATACTTCAAGCCTGCTGAGCATTTTATGAAGGACTAAGTTCCTGTGTGGTAAATTTTCTGTTCCTAAGCAGATGCCAAAACACTGGCCTTTGGAAAAGGAGGATTAATACCTTACTCAAGTTGTGATCTCTTTTGTGAACTCATTTCACAGTACTTCCCTTTCATATTTGATGTGAAAGTCCTGGCCTTTGTAAGGCAACTTGCTAATGGCTTAAAAGATTTGTGAAAGCTGATTCATATCAAGCCCACATGTAAAGAGCAACAATGCATGGAGAGGCCACAACAGATACAAGAGAGAGAAGGGAATAATTTGTATTCAACCATCAAAAGCCTTGGTGGGCTTTCATCAGCTAACCAAAACTTTCATAAGAAAGTAGAGCATTCTCAAGTGAACTTTTCTTTATTTGCCCATTTTGAAAGCAAGCTAATGACCATAAAGAAAGAGCGAATGAAGTCTAACATTGTCATGATAAATTTTACAGGGCCTCACTCTCTTGTATTTTTTCATTTGGACTTAAAGATGGGAATAGTCAGTTTTAAGATAAATTGTGACCTCAGCAAACACACTCACTGTTCTTTCTCCTGTATTTGGAGATTCTAAGCCAGTGGTTCTCAACCTGTGGGTCGGGACCCCATTTGGGGTCAAATGACCATTTCACGGTCGCCAAACAAGGCTGTCCGCCATTTTTTGCCCCTTTGGCCACGCTCCTGGCACCCGGTGATGTATAAGTGGTTGGGGGTCACCACAACATGGGGAACTGTATTATGGGGTCGCGGCATTAGAAAGGTTGAGAACCACTGTTCTAAGCTCATATTTAATATGTTACTTTATTAGAAACTCGCTTTTCTTTTTTTAAAATATATTTTATTGTTTTTTTTAATATAAACATCTTGATATTTGGTAAACAGCTTGTTGTTTGGGTTTATATTTACAAAGTAATCATTAACAGTTAATTTCTATATTCCAAAATCCACATAATAACTTTGCTTGATTTTTTTCTTCTTGCAATAATATTCTCTTTGCAATCTAAATTAATACAATTTTTATTAATTTGATAGGTAACAATTAACTATAAAGATTTTTCTAAAATTTCTACCAATAATAATCTCATCAATATCATGTTTCTTTTCTATCTGGTCATCTTGGTTGTCTCGTCACAAATCCTGTTTACAATTCTTATTTAAATTTATTTTCCCTACAATGTTCAAAATATTTCTACTGGTTAAAATTTTCCCAGAATTAATTACCTTAAAGTATTTAAATCTATTTTCGTATCTTAAAAAATAAGTAAGAAGAAGACATAAAAGAAAGACATAGAAAAAGAAAAGGCACGAGAGAGAAAAAGAAAAAGAGAAAAAAGAAAATAATATACTGTTTAAAATACGTATCCCTCTTGAACTAATATACACTTATTTCCAAATTCTTTCTGTCCTTTTTACCCATAATTAAACCTATGTTTAATCATTAAATGTTCCATTTAATAAATCCAATCATCTAATCTTTTAACTCTATTCAAAACATTTTTCCCATATTTACTTATCCATTAGAATTTTCTTTAAATCAATTATATTTAAAACATTTCCTTTATGTTAATCATCCCACACATTTTTATAGTTCTCATATCGAAAAACAAAAGAAAAAAAGATACTATCTTACCTTACCCTCTTAAACTAAAATCTTTCAATTTCTTCAGCCATATTCACACAAGTGTTTAATTTTTAAATATTCCCTCTGATACACCCCATCATCTAATTCCTCAATTCTCACTTTAGCCCTCTTCTTTTGCCAACCATCTCTCCCAGTCAATATATTCCATTGCATCAAAGAGTCTTTCTATAATCTTGTAAATGTTAGTATGGATATAGTAGACAAATCAAACATCATGTCTTTGTAAAAAGATTTTGCCCCTTCATATTCATTGAAGATTTCTCTCATCATATCTTGTCTCCCCATTTCTTGTGGTACTCCAATGGTTCAGCAATCCATTTTGTCAAATCTTTTTCCTTATCCTCAAATTTACTTTGTGATCTTGGAGTTATTTTTTCAATGTTCAATGTTTCTTGTAAGTCCTTCTCCATTTGAATCTCCACTAGTTTATATTCAGTTATCTGATTTACATGATCTCTCTTTTTTGTTTTCTGATCATTTAATTGTGATGTTAAATTGAGAATGCATTCATTTAAATTTTCAAATTCATTTTTAATTTCCTCATGGTTTGAAGTTAATATCATTTTCAAAACAAACAGAACAAACATTTCCTCCTAGTAAGTATTTATTTTTTCTTGGTATGTTCTTTCTGCAGATCTCTGATGCTCCATAATGACCAAAAGTCCTTTCTCTGCCAATCACTTTAAAGTCTCAATTTTAAAAATATTTATAATCCAGGAAGGTCAATTTTTTCTAAGTTTTGTAATTCTCACTTTGTAGATAGTCCACAATATTTTTCCTTTCTTTTGTAACAGCTGCTCTTTGTTTAATCAACACCCTGAAGGTCACAACAACAGGCTTTTCTTTCTGGGCTGTATATTTAGGGCAGTATTTTCATCCACCACTAGATGTCAGTCCATCTTTCAATTTCCTCCCCCCCAAACTTAATTCGCCACTTTCGTTTAGAGGAGGGTGGAACAAAGACACCCCCTCCCTTTTGGAGGATTTTTACTTCTGGGTTTGTTTTTTTCAGGAAATCAGTCAGGTAGGAAAGAGAAAATGAATATTATTACCCAGTTCAGTCACACTGTTTATAATCACGCTTAGTTTAGTACTTTTTGGCTTTGGCTGCATGTAGCTTGGGCTAGAGTCACGAATGACGCTATCCTTTCTTCTGTCGGTTTTTGGAGAGCTTTCCCCAGACATCTGGATTGACCACCATCTCTCCCTCCTTCCTTCTCACCTCTCCGGGGTGGTTTTGGGCCCATTTAGGGTCCCCAAACAGAAATCAGCTATAGGGATCATCTCAATCCCTTGGCTGGTGCACTAGCTGCACAGACCCGGAAGTCAGAAACTCGATTTTCTAAGAGACAGAGAAAGGGAGAGAAATAATAGTAACAAAAATCAATCAACCAACCAAAAATCACCAATTTTATAAAGCAGTCAGTTAAGATTTAAAGTGTACCTCTCATTATTATTATTTCATTCAAATGTTGTCTTTCTCTTTCCCATCACAGAGGTTTCTTTAATACTGTGCAGACTTGTTTTGTGAATCCATTGGAAAGTTATTCAGGTTATAGTCTTAGTTTGCCTTGTTAATATCTTTGTCTTTCTCCTTTTGTTTTTCAAATCCTTAACCAGCTTCTTTTATGTATCCTCTAGAAAAGTTTGTATTCTTGTCATTCTTTTGGCTTTGTTTGTAATCCACACTTTTTCCTGCCATTTATATTTCTAGCTTAAATGTCTGTTTTGTAATCCATACATTTTAATCCAATTTCTGATTCCACTATTTCTGCATAAAGTTACAGTATTTTATATCTATAATTCCTTCCTCTAATTAATATCTTATTCACATAATTTTATCTATAAAATCTACCAGCCATTAGTGATATTGTAGCTAATAATTTCTTGTCCCACTCTTCAAAGATCTTTGTTTCTAATTTTGTAGCATTTTGTGTCGGTTTGTAAATAATAGTCCTAAAGACAAGTTTTTTTCCCCTTTTTGCTTAGACCGTGATGGTAAACCTTTTAGAGACCGAGTGCCCAAACTGCAACCCAAAACCCACTTATGCATCGTCGAGTGCCGGGTGGGTGTGGCCCATTGGATGGGTATGGCCCATTGGGTGGGCGTGGCTGCAGTGGTAACAGCAGACTGGGTGGGACTAAAAAGTTCAATCAATCAATTCCAACTTTGCAAGATCTCTTTTTTTCCCCGCCAGAAGTTGAAATTGACTGATTGATTGAACCTTTTTTTTTTTGCACATGGCGGTGGAGGCCTAAAGCAAAACGATTTTATAAAACTCAGCTGAAGGCCTAGGACTGGGGCGATGGCATGCGTGCCCACAGAGAGGCCTCTGAGTGCCGCCTCTGGCACCCGTGCCATAGGTTCGCCACCACTGGCTTAGACTTTAGTATCTAATTTAAATCGTAATATTTCTTATCTCTTTATGACTTGCAATAGTCAAAACAATTCTGGTTCTCGCAAAAATGAATTTATTTTGTATAGTTAATTCAAAAATCTTATAGTACAAATTTCAAATCCAGATTTGTCTGCATACTTAATTTGTTTCTAACTTTTTAGTTCTAAATCTTGTTTAACCTTTTGCCATTTATTTCAAATTCTTTAAGTTCTTACTGTAAATTTATAATTATTTTTTATTTTGTTCAGGAATAAAGATACATTCACCAGGTGACTTTTCAGAGTTGCCATTCCAAAGACCTCTAAAGCCTTAAGACATTTAAAAAGCAATTTCCAAAAGTGATTAGAAGTAAGGTTAGGAAATGTAATGTCCTTTAAAAGGCATCACTGCAGTTGTGAGTTTGATTATTAATCCTTTTGTCTCTTGGCACTCAGATTATTGAGATTGCTGTCTTGTAGTTTACTTGTAAGGAACAGCCATTTGGGGTACATGTGAGTTCTCTCCTTGTTTGGAGAGGCCTGAAGAAGGTCTAAAGAGGAACTAAAAAACTGATCGCTGCTGCAATTGTCATCTCTGCTCTCCATAGAGATAGGTTTAGCTCACCAGGTGCTCACTTTGGATGGCCTTTACTCCAAATAGCTTTCCAACTTGTTTATCCGCTTAGAATGCTAATACCTGGACATGTGGGCAATAAAGAGCCCTTTCCCAGAAGTAGGGCTTATTTTCCATGGTGTTTGTGCACAGGATTATATTCATTTATCTCAGAATTTGAGATTGCTTGCCCATATTCTTCTCTGTGAATTACATTTAGTTCACTTCCAATTTCAGGTGGAGTAGTTCTAAATCCAGCTTACTATGGGATGCCAGGCCATATAAATACTATGATCCATGAAATAGGACACGTCTTGGGACTCTATCATGTCTTTAAGGGTGTGGATGAAAAAGACTCCTGTGATGATCCATGCAGGGAGACTACACCATCCATGGAAACTGGAGATCTCTGTGCTGACACTGCACCTACACTCAAAAGCAAAGTCTGTCGGGATCCAGATCCTATCAATGACACCTGCGGCCATACTTCTTTCTCTGGAACTCCCTTCAGCAATTATATGAGCTATACAGGTAAGGGAAGAAAGCACTATTACTTCATCAGGTTCAGAGATGGGTATCAACTGGCATGTACAATCCAGAGATGCTGAGAGCCATGAAACATGACAGCTAGAATTTGAGTGGCAAAATCCTAGCTGCCCTGATTTCACTAAGAAATATTGAGAATAGGTTTGATCTAATGGTTAAGGCACCACGTGAGAAACTGGGAGACTGTGAGTGTTAGTCCCACATTATGTATCAAAGCTGGTTAGGTAACTTTGGGCCGATCACTTTCTCTCAGACCAACTTACCTCATATGATTGTTGTGCAGAAAATAGGAGGTGGAAAAACTGTTAGGTATGCCCACCATCTTGACTTATTTTAAAAATAGTAAAATAAAATAAGTACGAGCTCTTATGTTTAAAAAATTTGAGTATTTTCAGTTTTAGTTCTAATGAATGAAACTGGTTGGAAAATAAAGTGGCAACTTCTAGCACTTCATACCCTCTTCTGCATTTACTGTGCAGAAAAACAATGAAAAACAAGAGACTATATTTTATTGAATCCAATGTCAGTATTCTATATTTCAATTGTTTTCTTTTTCTTTTCTTTCTTTTTTTTTTTTTTTTTTTGCTTTGGCATTCAATTATGTTTCATTAGAGATAATTACCCTCTCTTCCGTTTCCTTCAGTTTGGGGGCATTTTGGCAAGGCTTTTCAGACTGGGGTCAATTGACAGTGTTTGAGTACTGTATTTCCTCTGTTCAGAACCTTGGAGACCGCTCATTCATTATTTCTGAAAACATATACATTATTTATGCTTTAAGTTTTCACAGTTGTCTGTAGTGTTCAGTAGCAAGGAAGACACTATTGATTGCTTGCCAGAGGATATGTGATTAAATACTACAGATGGAGTGCCATCTTTTGGCCAATGGAAGGAATAACATTGAGCAGGCAGAATTTTAGAGGCATCTATGTTAGGGAGAATGTAAATACTCTAAAAAAATGTGCAGGAGAATTTTTGGGATGATGAAAATATCTGAAAAAGCAAAGAAAGAGAAAGATGGATATTCAAATGTATGAAAGAGATAAAAAAATGTTTCAAGGCCAAGAGGCAATGGATATAATCACAATAACATGCACTTTGGTTTAGTTTTAGAAGAGGGTTTGAAATTGCAATACATATGATAATACTGGGCAAGATTCTTAAAGGACATTATAGGATCTAATTTTACTCCAGGTTTTCAAAGTAGGATGTCTTCTCTGGCCATGAAAGGGATTTACTTAGATTTCTTGCCCTAACTCCTCATCTGAATCCAGTATTCATTTTCAAATTGTTTAGTAAGCTGCCTTTCTTACTCTCACAGATGACAATTGCACAGACAATTTTACTCCAAACCAAGTGGCACGAATGCATTGCTATCTGGATCTGGTATACCAGCAGTGGACTCAGAGCAGAAAACCCACTCCTGTCCCTTTGCCGCCTATGGTGGTTGGTCAGAGCCAGGATACGCTCACCATACACTGGCTACCTCCCATTAGTGGAATGCTTTATGAAAGGTAAGTGAGTAGTGATAGATGAAGGAAAGATAGGAATCTTAGAAAACCACACAAAACACATACATACAAATACACACACACACACACACACACAGAGAGAGAGAGAGAGAGAGAGAGAGAGAGAGAGAGAGATGAGTCTGGCAACACTTCTTGTTATCCTTGGTTTACACACAGTAGCGCTTTCTATTCCTTTTTTGGCTGCACCAGTTACAGTTCACAGGCCCAACCTCAGATTTCAGCCTTTAAATTGTTCTGTCTTCACTCTGCTTTCTACTTGAAGGAGGAAAATACCGTAAGACATTAGTTCTCTTGCTATTGTTATTAAGGATGCTTCAGAAAAACATCCCTCTTAGAATATAATTTCTAGATATGAGTTCAGTTATAAATTTCAGTACTTATGCCTCTCCTATCTTGTTTAAAGTTAAACTGCCAATCATCTCTTTTTACACAATTTGTAACTTTAAGGATGCCTACTATTATCCTAGGGATTTTGGATTGCAATTAAACTTGATGTGAGGTGAGTTGAATTCCAAAACAACTGGAGGGTCCGTCCTTGACTTAGATTCAAGAAGTCCAGTTTGGTTTTCTTTCTTTCAATAGATTCAAGAATTTTAACTGATAGTCCTAATTGTTATGTCAAATGTAATAATCTATTAATCTGATGTGGCATGCAACCACATCAGGATAATCATAAAATGTGTGTGTGTGTGTGTGGGAGGGAGGGAGTCTTTACTACTCCAGATGCCAATAATTCTCCCTTGCCGCAGCAATGACCAGGATTACATTTATTTTTTTTAAAAAAAGACTTTGTTCCCAGTGCACAGTTAATCAAACCACTGTGGTTTGAAACCCAGTACAATGAATTATATAGTGAAGAATTAATAATCTGTACTCTGTGATAGTCCACATTCCAGAAATTTCTCCAATGTCTTTACATTCACTTTTGAACTGCTGAACTGCTGAAGTATGAGTTAGTGGTGAATTTCCTGCCATATTCTCTTTCTTTTAGTTATCTATCCAACTATTTTTCCTTCTCCATTTCTCATGACCTCTACAATATGGATTGTGATGATAGGAAAAAGGAAAATTTAAACAGGAATTGAGGTGCTTCAACTGTTCTTCCAGGGAAAGTCTCTTCTCTACCAACTAGAAGGGTGAGCTAAAGGTGATCCCCGTACTTCAAGATGTTGAGAAATCCTGTTGGTACATCATTAGGATTAACAACTGCATTTTATTATGTATGATAGCAAGTGAATAGTCCCTTGTGCACTGTCCCAGAACATCTGACTTAAGATGAAGCTGAAAATCTAGAATAGTGGTACTTACATGGTCCATGGAAATCCAGATGTTGCTACTGTTACCACTGAGCCCCTTTGAGCCAGTTTCTAATCCTTCTAATAATATATTCCCAAAGTGTCCTTATATTTTACTATTATTGAGTTTTATGCTTTATTATTATTTGCATCACAGCATTTCTCTTTTGGTGCTGGGATGACAATAGTAGAATTGTTCACTTTCTTTTTTTAATAAATCAAAGATGAGTTATATTTAACTATGCTTAAACTTAAAAGCAAGCTACTTCAAATCACAGTTTATCTTCGGATGTAATAGTAAATTGGAAATTTACTCAGATTGAAAATGTTCCCCTTAAATTAAGAGAGAGGCAACATTTAGTATTAGAGGTGGTATTAGTCCTGTGCCATTGTTTTTCAGAAGTTTCAGAATATATACAGCAATCTCTGCTGGAAAAAAAAATTACACCTTAGGACCATTTTTTTCCAGCCTCAGTGTTTTTTATGTATGTTTAATTCCTAGAATGCTTAGGTAACTTGACCTAAGGCCATGAGAATTGCACTTCAAGATATTTGGAGGGGACCAGGTTAAGAATCTTGGAGCAGGCAAGATTCTTGACCCAGCAATACCCCAGCAGACTGATTTTGTCAACATTGTTTTGACCGTGATTTGCAATGTTCCTTCTGTTATCCCCTTTCACCACTGTGCGCACGTAGTTCTTTCAATGGGAAGTTGTTTACATGAACATGTGTACCTTGGGAAAGCTGCATTGGCCTTCTACTGAGGAATTTAAGGAGGCAAAGAAGGTGATGAAGATGATTTGGCAATTTCTCTCAGCTGTTTGCCAGTTGGCAAAAATTTTTCTGGGCTTTATATATGAAGGGAGTTAGAGGAACAGACACTTATTTATACAGCTGTTATTCCAAACATGAACGGATTTTGATCTTCCTGCAATAATAGACAGGAGACATATAGCTATGCTGGAGATGTATATGTAACTGCAGGTATGCAGTTTATATATGTGTATGTATGTATGTATGTATGTATGTATGTATGTATGTATGTATATGTGTATAGTTGAAAGCTTCAAGCAAACAAGGTGTATCCTTGCTGTTAATGTGAGTGAAGCAGCTTTTCATAGAATGATAGAGCCACAAGATTGTAGGGATGGTGGTGATCCTACAGAGATCATCTAATCCAGGGGTCTTCAAACTCGGTCCCTTTTATGACTCATGAACTTCAACTCCCAGAATTCTGAGGAATTCTGGGAGTTGAAGTCCATGAGTCATAAAAGGGACCGAGTTTGAAGACACCTGATCCAATCCATCCTTTGCCCAGTCTTGGATCTGGTAGTACATCTGTGTCAAATAACAATCTAGAACATGTTTGAAGACTTCTAGTGAAGGAAAATTCCCCACTTCATATGGCAGCCTATTCTACTGGATGACAACTTATATAGACATGAAGTTCCTCCTGGTGTGTAGCCTGATGGAGTATCCTCATATATTTAACCTGGTAGTTCTGGCCCTACTCCCTGGGACAGTAAGTCTATTTATTCTTTAATATATTGTGAAATAAACCATCTATTGCGCCATCTTCTCAGTTTTGGTATAATATCTTATTTCAATACAATGATAGTTATATATTTAAATAACAGCACTTTTTTAATTAATGAGGAGGATGGGTAAATAGTAGCTTTTCTAGCCATCAAGTTCTTAGTTGGCTGCCTAGCTTTTGTTTCTAGCAGCCATCAAAGTTCTCTTGTTAGCTTTTTTTTCTTGGAAAATGGTAATGTTATTTGGTTACGTCCAAGGAAAATGTAAATCACAAACTACATGTGGACAGAAAGCCAACATTTCTGAACTCCCCTGGCATATTCTTCAGCTCAAGGAGTGGCAGGTATTTTACTTGCTGGCTTTACTAAACCAGGGAGTATTTCTTCAGCATTTTGAAAGCTTGGGAGTGCATGTGTTTGTTTGCATATAAAAGAGGAAGATCTCTGGTTGCCTTGATTTCCTTTCTTAGTGAACTGAGATACATGCAGCAGGTGGCAGTAGAACAAGAGAAACAGGATCCCTTCTGTAAAAAAAAAGTGGGGGGGAATTAGTTAGGGATTACAATCTTCCTGCGGTGTCATACTTGCTATCTCTTTAAGGGTAAGGAAAAAATATGCAGAGCACGGAAGAAGAGTAAGAGCCAAGTAATTTAAAGGCATAAAGTAAGGACAAGAAAAAGAAAAATAGTGAATACTAGTTTAAACCAATACCGTTGCTATTAATACCTTTCCATATGTTCTCTTTGTAAATCAACATTGCTTCCACCGGTTCCACATACCACTTAAAAGACCACATTTCCTTATTTTAATCCCTGCTTATTACTGAACTATTCAGTAAGCATTCCATTTATTTGCACTCATGCTTTTTTCATGTATCTCTTTTATCACATTCAACAGTTTTCACTTTCACATTCATACAAAATGTTCCATAACTCTTGCCAGTTCATTTTATTGTATAATTCCTTTAAATCCCCAGAATTACAATAAACTTTTATTTTCAGACTTGTACATTTCATACTGACTGTTGAAGACTAGAGAGACCATACTGCATACTTCCTGCGCAGCATAAAATCACACTACACCTCTCAAGTATTGTTTATTATTGCTTTATTTTTTCAATTATATCTCTTTCAAACATCTGTCTTGGCATATTTAATAAACTAGTCTCGTGAAGTCTTTGTATGCACCATTTCTGTATGGAGGCTTTTAGGAAATAACCACAGTTCTCCTTCATTCCTGAGTCTCCAAATGGCCCAATCACTTTTTTGTGTACTTCTGTACTTTCTCATCTTATTCTCATCTATAATGCTATAAATTAGAATGATTTTTTTCATCTGAATTTTACTCATTCAGAAGGTTGCACAGGTTTTTTTTCAGAATTTTGCTCGTTCTTAGCATGCATCTGTGAACGAACAAATGGTTTCTACTTTTAGATGCACCCTGATAACAATCCCAATAATACCTGTTTATATTTTCTGATATATATTTCATCTCTTTCATTCATAATTAACTTAGATATTCATTACTCTGCAGGCATTGTTTAGTTCCACTTTACATGATTAGTTCAAATTCAGTCAGATTTATATTTACATTGCATCCCTTTTCTCTTAAGTTGACAGATCCACAATATATTCTTTCTTTCATTTCGCCCCCCCCCCCATTCTTTGTTTGTTTGTTTGCTCATCTCACACAAATAATTCTGGATAGCATACAAGGATTGAAACCCAGGACATAGTTCATGCTCTTTGGCATTTATTCCTCTTAAATGTTAAACTGCAATCTTCAAGATACCAAGATACCAGATGAGCCAATTCATGTCTCTGCAATTAATTATAGCTTTTGTCATTTGAATCTTGCAAATAATGCTTTTAGTAAAACATAGAAGGGGTAGATTACTTTGCCAGTCTTAGTCATGCTGTGCCACGTTCAGTATTCCTTGTGAATGATGATAAGTCAGCTTGGCATATTTGCTCAATATGACTAAAGTGCCACCAAAGCCAGTTGTACCCCATACTAATTTATGAAAAATTAAAGTTTCTGATCTAAGACTACCTTAAATTTGTCTGCATCCCACCAACTAAGAAATAAGACACAATATTGCCACATACGTAGGATGCTCAGACTTTGTCTATATCAAGTATTAGATACTGTAATCATGGAAGTATAAGTAGGAAGTTATACATTGAGATGCTGGCATAGAAATTTAATAATAATTTAAAAGAAGTTGGGTAGAATTCTAAAAAAAATATGTCTGAATGGAAAAGGAATTAACACATTCATTTCTCTTCTTTCTTTCTTTCTCTGTTGTTAGAGAGTCAGGGAATCTCTGCGGAAATTGTGCTGAAGATGGAACTTTCAGCCAGTATGTACATGAAGCCTCTTCTCCTCTAATCTGTGACTCGTCTGGCTATTGGACTCCAAAGGAGGCAGTAGGTAAAGATCTCAGATCTTTTTTTCTATGACAAAGGGATTATCAGACATGACTGGGTAACCCATCAGCTGTTGCTGTGTATTCTGCCAGAATGGAGGCCAATAAATAAACTTGAAGAGCTTCAGTGGAGCTGTGCAAAGTTTTTTGAGTGTCTCTAGCTGTTTGGTGGCTTTGAGAAGTGAATTCAGAGGAGGAGATCTAGAGAAGTTCTCTTTTTCTCTTTCTCTTCAAAAACAAAATGAAATAACAATACTGATCAGTATAATATCATGTAAATTAAATATGTGGCATAGTTTTAAAAGAAACAGTGCAAGCTTTCGACTGACTTAATGTTCTGAGTAAAATTTTTCTTTCTGGGCCTAGTCTATAAATTGCTTAAACTGTTGTAAAAGTGAGTTGAAATGTATGTGCTGGAGAAAAGGGTAAAGAGAAAAATTATTTGGAAATTATTGAGAGTTTGTCTATCACAGTGATGGCGAACCTTTTAGAGACTGAATGCCCAAACTACAACCCAAAACCCACTTATGCATCGTCGAGTGCCAGGTGGGCGTGGCTGCAGTGGTAACGGCAGACTGGGTGGAACTAAAAAGTTCAATCAATCAATTCCAACTTTGCAAGATTTTTTTTTCCCACAAGAAGTTGAAATTGATTGATTGAACCTTTTTTTTTTTTTTTTTTTTTTGCACATGGCGGCGGAGGCCTAAAGTAAAAAGGTTTTATAAAACACAGCCGAAGGCCTAGGACTGGGGTGATGGCACATGTGCCCACAGAGAGGGCTCTGAGTTCCGCCTCTGGCACCCATGCCATGGGTTCGCCACCACTGGCCTATCATATGTGAATATATAGTTACTTCAGGAGCCTAAAGATGGAGAGAAAAGGTATTATAAAAAAATTAAAAAAGAAAAGAATCCCATACCACCTTTCCAGGATAATAATAAATGAGTTATTCATGCTAGTATATTGACTATACGGGCAGTCTTTGACTTATGGCCACAACTGAGCCCAAAATTTCAATTGCTGAGTGAAGTTAAGTGAATTGCACCTCATTTTACAACCTTTTTTGCCATGGTTGTTAAGCAAATCACTGCAAGTTGTTAGTGAATCATGCCATCTTTAAGTGAATCTGGCTTTCCCCATTGACTTTGCTTGCTGGAAGTCAGCTGGGAAGATTACAAATGGTGATCCCAGGACCCTGGGACACTGCAACTGTCATGATTTTGATTTTGATTATGTGACCATGGCAATGTTACAAAGATAGTAACTGAAAGTGTGAAAAATGGCCATAAGTCACTGTTTTCAGTGCTGTTGTAACTTCGAATGGTCACTAAATGAACAGTTGTAAGTCAAGGACTACCTGTATTCTCTTGAAATGCAAAACTAAAGATTTGAAACCATGATTTATTGAATGGATTCCTTGCACATAAAGTTAACTCTACATGATAGGGCTATGATCAAAAGCAAACAAAATCCTTTATGTGAATGCAGCAATTATTTCATCAGTGTTTGCAAGCTGCCAAAAGCAAGCGCACATTATTGTGCCCATATTGCAGAATGGAAATTACTTGCACATGATCAGAAATTAAGATGCTCTTGTGACCTGTTCTTTCAATCCATTTGCCAGAACTGTGGGAAAGGGTTGCAGCAGTAATCAACATGGTCTAGTACAGTATATTTGAATCCTTATGTGCCCACCAATCTTTCTGTCCCAATGCTCCCTGCAGTTTTATTTTCTTGTGTTTCCAGTAAGGTTTTAGTGATGCTGGTGGGGAAATGTACTGTAGGTCACATAATATTCTGCCCTGTTTTACTGTGCTTAGAAGAGAGCCAGAGAAAAACATATATACAATGATTTCACTTGAAAAGAAGAAGGTAAACTAGAGATCTCTAACTTCTTTGAACTCCTTCTCTGGTGTGTGTGTGTGTGTGTGTGTGTGTATGTACGTACGTATGTAAGTATGTATGTATGTATGTATATATGTAGAGATAGAGATAGAGATAGAGATAGAGAGAGCCAGTTTGGTTGAGTGGTCAAGGCATCAGGTTAGAAACTGGGATACTGTAAGTTCTAGACCCGCTTTGTGCATGAAGACATTTGGGCCAGTCCCTCACTCCCTCACCCAGGAAAGAGGTAGTGGCAAACCGCTTCTGAAAGACCTTGTCAAGAAAACTGCAGGGATTGTCCAGACAGTGTCAGAATTGGACACAATTGGAAGAAGGAAAAAAGTACACACACACACACACACACACACACACACACACACACAGATACTGACTGTAATTCAGTGTTTGCTGTTTTTGTCAGTTATCTGAAAAGGTATAGTCCAGGGACAGTGGTGTTGTACAACATTGCTGATTATATTCCCCCCCCCCCGCGCCTCAGACATTCTTTGACACTGTATATAGGAGACAGTTCTCTTCTCTTCTCTTCTCTTCTCTTCTCTTCTCTTCTCTTCTCTTCTCTTCTCTTGTTATCTTATCATCTTATCTTATCTATAGGAGGCAATTTCCAATTGGCAGGCATCTTGCTTGCCCTAAGTTCAGGGATACTAGGTAACCCCTAGATCAGTGGTTCTCAACCTTTTTAATGCCGCGATCCCCAACCGGTCGTAAGTCGAGAACTAAACCAGTCGTAAGTCGAGGACTAAACCGGTCGTAAGTCGAGGACTACCCAACCAGTCGTTAAGTCGAGGACTTTCCCTGCCCGGGAGCGCCACGCATACGTGCTGCTGCCCCCTGCGCCGGCTGAGACGTAGCTGGCAAGTGGCAGAGATGGAGCAGGCCAACCATTGGCTGGGCCACCAGCTGGCCCAGCCCAAGGGAGGTAAGGCACCCACCGGAAAAGGGGGAAAAATGGTGGACAGCCTCGCTTGACGACCCCCGTGAAATGGTCGATCGACCCCAAATGGGGTCCCGACCCATAGGTTGAGAACCGCTGCCCTAGATTGTGCCCATGAAACTCAGTAGCAAAATGTCAGTTGTTAGCAGTGCAAAAAGCAACCACTAAATAAGTATATAAAAATTCCACAAGTTTAATTTATCCATTTTGTATGTAAGTTGAAATTTTGCAAAAGGGAAAAAGTAATATAAAATTAGTTTATTATTATATTGTTGTTGTTGAATGTGACTTCCAGAGACATAAAAATTCATTTCTAATATGCAGCATTTGTCCTGAACTAAATCTAGGTCTAAAGTCTGAAAGACTCATGTCCTTTCATACGGGGAAGAATTTTTATAAATTAACGCAGAACCATTTGTTATATTTTTCCTTTGAAAGGCAGAAAAAATATTTTATTCTTTTTTTTTTCCCCTGGGGACTCTTAGAAATTAGAGCCATGGTGGCACATTGGTTAGAATGCAGTACTGCAGTCTAATTCTGCCAACTGCCAGGAGTTTGATTCTGACCAGCTCAAGGTTGACTCAGCCTTCTATCCTTATGATGTCTGTAAAATGAGGACCCAGATTGTTTGGGACAATATGCTGACTCTGTGAACAGCTTAGAGAGGGTTGTAAAGCACTATGAAGTGGTATACTGTATAAGTGTTATTTCTATTGCTATTATTCAGATTTCTATTCTACCCTTTTTTTAGCAGTGCTAGTTTTTCCGAAATAATATATTATATGAGAAATTAGAATGCCATGCTCCAGTCAAATTTATTTATATGTTGATATCAGAAATAAAATTTGAAGTGGATTAAAAAAAATGGCTCATTAAGAGATGGTAAACCTTATTTCCAAATCTCTATATCTCCTTTCTCATGTCCCTATGACCCTGCTTCTGAAATTCCACTTCACTTTGCTTATTCAGAAAACTCTTCCATTATTTTTGTCTTTCTAGGTCCTCCAGATGTAACTCAACCCTGTGAAACCAGTTTGCAGGCCTGGAGCCCCGAATTTAATCTGTTTAATGTGAGCATGACCACTCCTTGCCTTAAGCCTTTTGGTTGCATTTTGGAACTCTACTTCTTATATCCTGTGTATTCTGACTCTTTGCTGATATGGACTACAAATTTCTCCATCAATTCCAAAGCGCTGTCAGATATTGAGATCCTGACAGAGCAGGGGGATTCTGTACACCTTGGACCTATGGATACATTCTGTGACATTCCCCTCACGGTGAAACTGAATCTTACCAAGAAGGTGACTGGCTTAAAAATTTATACCTTTGATGAGAAGATGGAGATAGATGCTGCACAATTGATCTCCACACCACACAGTCTCCTTTGTTCAAACTGCAAACCTGTAAAGTACAGGATTCTGCGGGACCCCCCATTCCAAGATGGATCTCCAGCAATGGTGATGCAGCCAGGAAGAACATTTATTGACAAGTGAGTAAAAAAATTAAGTGTTTAGAAATCTATAGGCTTCTGCAAAAGTATTCTGACCCTCTCCCCTTTGTTTCTATTTTCTTTCTTTTCATTTTTTAAAAATAAGACTCCCAACTCTTTCCCCTTCAGAAAAAAGGTAAGTCAGATTGTATCATGTAGAAAATATATCATAATTCCAGTGTTCTGTCCAATGAAAACAGAATCAATGAGATGATTGATTCGTACTTGAACATTTGAACTTTAAGATCCATTTAAATTAATGTCTCAGTGTTACAAATATTTTCATATAGGTTTTTGAATTGGAAAAGTTGTGCTACCCTGCTTGATAACGGAACAGAATAACTGAGTTGGAAGGGACCTTGGGGGTCCTAATTCAATCCTGTGCTCAAACAGGAGACTCTACCATTTCAGACAAATGGCTGTCCAATCTCTTCTTAAAACCCTCCAGTGATGGAGCAGGCACAACTTCTGAAGGCAAGCCATTTCACTGATTACTTGTTCTCATCTCAAGAAATTTCTCCTTAGTTCTAGGTTGGATCTCTCCTTGATTAGTTTCCATCCATTGCATCCATTAGTTTTCATCTTGTCCTCCCTTCAGGTCCTTTGGAGAATAGATTGGCCCTCTCTCCTTTGTTATTAGCCCCCTATCCATTAGCCTACTTTTAACACTGTTGGGTTGGCTGCTCCTGTCTCTAATTTCTTCAGTCCTTCATTGTTAGCAGAAATGATGTAGAAGCTGTAACAATGTTATCTTTACATTTCTTAAGTTTTACATTTTAACTGGATGATTACAAACTCTTGCAAAGGAAGAATGTTGTTCATGAATAAGTGATTCATTCCCTTTAGCTACTTGGAGACAAAGCTTGCAGGAATTTCCTGCTGGGTAAAAGTTGCCGAATTTAATGTAAGACAAATAAATACGTACTTTGGAAGATTTCTATGAAAACACAGTAATTGAAAATTTTAAGTGGCCACATTTTATTGATGTAATGCTAATTGCTTTGGCTGCCTCTGTGATTCTAGATCTCAGGTAAGAATTTTCGGCCTCAGTTGTTGGGGTGGCATACGAGGAACCACTTGTATATTAGTACACAAGCTGGATATACTGGACAGATCTGGCCATGCTTTGTTTTGACAGCTTAATAGACAAAACCCAAGGCCTTTCTGAATGTGGCTTTTCTGACATGAATTCCTTGTTTTTTGTAAGGATTCACAGAGTAAACCCTGTGTTTTGGTTTGTGTGGTTGGTTTGGTTAGCATATTGACAATGAATGTTAAGGTTTTTTTTGCTGATAACCATTCTGGAATTTATTGGATGAAGAACTCTATACAGATGTCTTAAATAAATTGTTTAAATAATCCCTCATTATGTTTCTGAATCACTGAGCTATTGGAAAAGTATTGTAGAATTTTTAAAATCATAACAATAAAAGCAGGGCTTTTTTTCTCATAGAGTGCCCAGAACGGAGTTCCAGCATCTTTTTTGGATGGAACCTTGTAGGGTAGGCAAGGCGGGTTGTATAATGTGTGTGAGTTCCGGCACTTTTTTTTTTTTTTTTAGAAAAGCACTGAATAAAAGTATATTCTTTTTTTTTAATAATGGCACAAACATGATCTGTGTCCAGCTGTCTAATAGCTGTGCTTTTATTCAATTCTTCATTTGGCTGCTTGGCTGCAGTTATCCCCAGAAAACAAAGTTGAATTGCATATTTCCATTATTTTCTTGACTACTGACTACTTGTCATCCATTGAAGATGAGTGCAGAGCAGTAGTTAGCTTGCGTGTTTGCCAGTATCATCTCAAACTCTACCACTATGGGGGGCTTATAGAGATGAACTATCCCAACTCCCAGCTGCTCTTGCACTGCATTCCCTTGTAAAAAATAAGACCTGATAAACAATTTTTGGAACACATGTTATCAGTGCTTCTAATAAAGGATGAACGACATCAGTTTAGATTTAACTTGACCATAAAACAGCCTTTCCCTCCATCCCCTGAATCTTAGAACTTCGAAAATGAAAGGATTATTCTTAACCTGGAATCTTATAATTCAGTTAATCTTGTGGTACTTTAGGTAACAAATGGGAAAAGAAAATAGCATTTCCATCCTAAATAATCTTTAGATTCTGAAGATTCTTAGTAGTTGTTGGAAACCATGTTGTAGGGCAGATTGGGAGTGCTGCCACGGACTGGGACAACTTGCTGTGACCAACTCACCTTGGGACAACTCGCCATGGCCAACTTTCCATAGGACAACTCATTGCAGGGCAATTCAATGTGGGATAATTCAAGAGAGGGGCAAGTAGAATTGCAGTTCACTTCAGCCTCTAGGACTTCTAACTTGAGAAGGTTCAAACCTGAAGGAAGACAAGGGCCGCCACAATTCAGTTGTCCCTTTCTTGAGTTGTCTCGCATTGAATTGTCCCAGGGCGAGTTGGCTAGGGTGAGTTGGCCAGGTGAGTCGGCACGGTGATTTGTCCTAGACCTTGTTGCTCTGCCACTGGAGCAAAGATAACAAGAACTGGGATACAAATAAACAGCAGCAGATAAGGTGGTAGGTTGACCATGGGGTAGGAATAATGGTAGAACAAGAGACAGCAACCTGCTTCTTTACTACCATAGTCAAATCTCTTGCTATCGCAGTATTGATAATGTGAACAAAAATTCTGCATTAAAATACTTATTAAAATAAATGTGGTATGGTTTAATCTCAAAACTGATCAGAACATTTTGAAAGTGCAAAAGATAATTGTTTTGATTGTTCATTTATTTGAAATGTATGGATCAAATTAGTTTACATTAAAATTCATAAAAAGAAAAATTATTCAGGGATCCTCCCATATAAATGATTTAAAAAAAAGCTTGGAAATGATCCCGGTTGCCAGGTCATAGAACAGATCAAATTCAAGTAATTTGGAAGGTGCCTCCACCAGAAGAGAGCCAACAAAACCAAATTTGTGACCTACATGTTCCTGTGGCTAATGTGGTTTCTGGAATTATTCTTTCCAAAGATTGAGATGAGGCGAATTCATGATCTCTGATACCCGGAAACAGTTCATGGCTTATCTTTTTGGCTAAGTCTGGTTTAGATTTCATGCAGCTGGTCAATTTTTTTTGTCTCTAAGAAGGGCAAGGATATGGCCCCTAAAAGCTTTTATCTTTGCAATTCAGACCTCCTAGAATCAATTCATCAAATTGAAATGGATAAAATTTATTGAATCTAAGTGAACATTTAAGGTTGCAATTAAGTCTTCTTTCCTGGAGAAACTGGTCTCCGTCTGTAGCCATATTCCCACCAATTAAAGAAAAGGCTACAGACTTCCGGTGTTGCATGGTAGTGATCGGTCATGGGCTTGCGGATTCTCCACACCCCCGTGGCTAATTTCACCCTGCCTGGGGACCCTAAATGGGTCTAAGTCGCCCCGGAGAGGCGACGAAGAAAGAAAGTGCTCCAATGATTCTGAAACCGTAGCGGTCATTCCCTTCAACTTGGGGAAAGTCTTCTAACCCGACAGGAGAAAGGCTGGCTGTATTGCATCAACCAGCCCAAGCTACTAGCAACCGAAGTCCAAAAGCAGTAACCAGCACAACTGTGAACAGCATGCTTGAAACTGGGTGAGGAATTTGATCTTCTCTTTTCTATTCTACATTTATTTTCCTGGAAAAGATCTCCAAGAAGCAAAATACCTCTGAAAGGGAAGGAGGGGGATTTCTGCCCCACCCTTATACTAATGGAAGCGGCAAATTAATCTTTTTATGGAGGATCAAAATATATGGAAGTAAAAACCAAATAGTTGCTGACACCTAGTGGTGGATGAAGACTATGACAGCTATGTCATAGGAAATGATAAGAGAAGTGGAAAGAAAGAAAAAGAAAAAAGAAAAAGATTTTCAACAAAGGTGGAAAGGCAGAAGCCCCATACAAAGACACTTCTCCTGATTTACTTTTTATGTCTACAGCAACATTTACGAACATGCGGGAAAACTTTTTGATTCAGCAAAATACATTGATTAAGAAAGATACTGGGCAAAGGAAAAAGACTAAAGTGGAAACCAAGAAAATAGACGACGGGACTTAACAGAGAGAATACTTAAAAAAGAAACATTTCTTTGAATACGGTTAAAGAAATAGAAAAGTTTTGGAATATATATGTTATTCTAAGAGGGATGAATTCCCTAAATAATATAGTATGCTTTTTTCCCTTTTTTGTTCTCTTTCTTGATATGAGTAATATAAAAAAGTTGAATTGACTTAGATAAAGGAAATGTTTTAGATACTTAAATGTGATTGAATTTAAGAAAATTATAATGGATAAAAATGTTTTGAATAAGAGTTAAAGGACTAGATTACTAGATGTATTAAATGGAATGTTTAAAGATTAAACATATTTTTAATTATGGTTAAAAAGAATAAGAAATTTATGAAATAAATATATATTAGCTTAGGAGGGACATATATTTTAAGTAATGTTGTTTTTTATGTTTCTTTACTCTTGCTCTTTCTTTTTTTCATTAATTGTTCTATCTATTCTTTAAGAAATGTAAAACTGTAAGATGGTTCATATGGAAAAATAGAGTTAAAGTTTTAATTGTAATTAATTTTTGAGAAAAAAAAACAGAGAATACCTAGAATTTGGTGGGAGAAACAAATTAAATTGGGACTGTAACAGGATCTATGATAAGGCAACCAGAATGATTGGATAGAAAAGAAATATTATATTGATGTGACTATTATTTTCAGCAATATTGGGAAAAATATATATTTAATTGTTATCTATCAAAACAATAAGAATTGTATTAACTCAATGCTTGCAAAAGAGGATATTTTGGGAAAAGAGGAAATCAACTAAAACCATTATGTGGATTATGGATTATAGAAATCAATTGTTAATGATTGTTTTACAAATGTAACCCAGCCAACACACTGTTCACCAATTATTGTGATGTATGTTTTTTTAAAAAAAATCAATAAAATATATTACAAAAAAAAAGGCTACAGCTCTTCTTTTTATACACAAGAAAGAATAAATTATTAAGTCCTTAAAAGCATTAAGCATTGCTTTGGGTTTCACACATGGTAAAAGGAAACAAAAAGGAAATAATGAGTGAAAGAATTATACTTTAATAACAGCTTCCCATGATCATATACCCTTGAATAAGTATAGGTTTAATCCTGGCATATTAAATTTCTTTTATATTGTTCAATACAATATATTTTTGAAAATTATTTTAATTTTTCTTGTTCAGCTTTACAAGTTCATAGAGATATTTTATATTTTTTAACATAATTTATTTTTTAAGAAACTCAATTTGAAGTCTGTGTTCTTCAAATGCAGTAATTTTAATATTTTAAAGATACATTAAAAGCATTGTTCCTCCACTATAACCAAATTAATCTTGCCTCATGAAGTGTGCACTTATACTTTGTCATATTATTTCGTATTACTTAAATCCAACAGAATGGTGTATTTTGTTATGTATTATATCAGTGGTTCTTAACCTTTTTGAATGAATCACCCCCTTGAGCCAATGAGGAAGTTGTCATCGCCCCCCTCCCCCAATATAACCTCTCAATCACAAAATAGGAAATAATTCTTCAATTTATGCAAACACTTTTTTTGTTTTCTTTAAAATTGTCATCAGGACATATGATGCAAATAATTTATTTCCAGTCTTTTTCCCATATCTCAACTGTGTGAAAAAGTTTGGTGTCACCAGTCACTTTATTTCCAAACTTAGTGATACATGTATTTCATTATTATCTTATTTATTCAAGACACTTAAATGTAATGACCACTGAAAACAAAACACTGGGAGCCGCAAAACCCTTTTGACATCTAAAATGAAGATAACACTGCATATATCCTTTTTTACCTTTATTATATATATATCTTCAGTGTTATCTTCATTTTAGATGTCAAAAGGGTCTCTCTCTCTCTCTCTCTCACCCTCTCCCTCCCTCCCTCCCTCTCTCTCCCTCTTTCTGCCCTTGGTCTGCCAGTTCTCTTCCTTCGTGTGTGTGTGTGTGTGAGAGAGAGAGAGAGAGAGAGGGAGGGGGCACTTGCGCTTCCTCTCTCTCTTTCCTCTCTCTTTCTCTTTCCCTTCTCCCTCTCTCTTTCCTCTCCCTCCATCCCCCCTTCTTTCTCCAGGTGAGGAGAGAGAGAGAACGAAAGGCAGAGGGTGCCGAAGGGGCGGGGAGGGGGGTAGGAGGCAGCAGAAGACCCCCTGTTGCAGCTGGAGGCACCCAGCTCCGCTGCCTGCTGGGCTTCTGGGGAGGCGCCGGCTCATGGTCATGTTGGCAGGCTGTTCCACATGCCATTGGCATCCATGGGCTCAATTCAAGGCCACGGGGCATCTGCGGAATGCCCTGCCCGTCGGCTGCATCGCCAAGCCTCCCTTCGCACTGCCGGCGTCCCTGTGCTTAAGTCACAGGGCATCCGCGGAATGCCTCCCCGTCAGCTGCATCACCAAACCTTCTCCCGTGCCACCGGCATCCTCAGTCAGAACCGGAGCAATGATCTGCCTCCCGCCAGGACCAACGCTGGAGCCTCCCATGCTGCCGGTAGGTCTGTCATGCTGGAGGAGCTGGGGCCACTTCGCACTGTGCGGTGCTCCCGGCGATCCACAACCCACCAGCATCTCCCAGGGAGTGATTCCCCTGCCAGCCGCCGCTCCAGCCAGGACTGCCACCTGGGGGACAGCAGAAGGAAGAAGGGGAGGAGGAGGAGAGCAAGGAAGCTGGCGCTGGGCCCCAGGAGGAGGTGCTCCCATGGGTCTGGCTGGGACTCTTCTGCTGCTGGTTGGAAAATGCCTCTCCCCTCCCTTTCTCTTCCTCTCATCTGCTCACCTCACATTCTTCACCGACAAACCAGGCGGGACTCCGGCACACCTTCCCGGCCAGCTGGGCCAATGGTCCCATGGCTGGGGATCACAGGGGCTGCTCTCCCTCAGGGCTGCAGCTTGCAGGAAGGCTGGCCCACTCAGCTGAAGCTCTGGCAGGCTGCTCCCAGCGGGGATCTCGGGGCTTCCCCGCACGGTTCCCCGGCCATGTGCACATCGGACGGGACCAGCCAGGGAAAGGGACTTCCTGGCCGCGCTTCTCCCAGGGGGCAGGGCACCTGGGCTCAGGGCCAATCAGGAGCCCTGCGAGGGGGCAAATCCGCACGAGAGAGAGAGAGAGGGAGAGAGAGAGACGCACAAGTGCCTCTTTCTGTCTCTGTCTCTCTCTGCAAATGGCGGAGGAGGCTCAGAGCCGCAGGGGAAGGCTCAAAAGTGTCCCCAAACTTATTGCTCCATCGCCCCCATATTGCCCCCTTTTCGTTCCTTCGCCCCCACGTCGCCCCTTTTCGTTCCATCGCCCCCCTGAAAAACGAAATCGCCCCCTGGGGGGCAATATCGCCCAGGTTAAGAACCACTGTATTATATGATTAGTTCCATATCACATTATCTACTGACTTATGTTCCATAAGGATCCCTGGTTAATTTACAGAAAGCTCCCTCCACCTGACACAGCCACATATCTCTTCTGAAAATTGCCATTGCAAATTGAAGAGAGATTATTCCTTGCCAGAGATAAATTCCAAAGCAATAGCTTTCCCTTTAATTATTTCTTGTTCAAACCAGAAAACAATTAATCTTGCCTGGGTACAGGGATCTGTAATTGTTTCAATGGATTATTTTAAAGTATCATGTGAAATCCCAGCAGTGTTTTCTATTCCATTTTATAAAGTATCACATCTATTGTAAGTTATGTCAGCAGGTTTTTCACTTGTTCGTTATTATTTGATATGGTAGACATTATTCTCTGGTTAACAGTCAGTTACCTATGACATTCACTGCAGTTGCTAATCCTTTTGAAAGCCTAAACTGCACAAGTGGAATTGTACGAAGAATCATTACATATCACTGACTTCTATAAATTCTGGTTGGTTTTCTTGATGTGTTACCTAGAAACATGTTTATATGCCATGACAAGACAGTGGCCAAGAGATGTCTCTAAAGCAGTGGTTCTCAACCTTTTTAATGCCGCGACCCCCAACTGGTTGTAAGTCGAGGACTACTCAATTGGTGCAGCACTGTTTGCAGAATGGGACTTTTGGCGGGCTCAGCAGGGCAGAGGCAGCCTGGACAATTCCTATTGGCTTTTGAAAGCCAGTAGAATTAGACTATATTCAAGAGAGTCTATTCTATTGGCTTTCAAAAGCCAATAGAATAAAAGGGAGTAGCACAGCTAAGGAAAAGGGGGAAAAAATGGCGGACTGTGTTGTTTGGCGACCCCCGTGAAATGGTCGTTCGACCCCAAATGGGGTCCCAACCCACAGGTTGAGAACCACTGTTCTAAAGGCAAAAAGAGAACAAAACTTCACAAATTCAATTAGAAGCATTCACACTGCTTCAACGAGGAACATATCTCTGTTTTGTACTGCGAAAGATATACTTTCCTGAATGAAAATGTGATTGGGCAAAGAAATGTGGTTGGACCAGGTTTTATTGCAAATGTGGGCTCTCCAGTATATCTTTCATCACTTAACATCTAAGATAGTATCCTAGCTAGCAAGTTTTGATTCCCAGTTAGAAGGACTGATAGTGGAATGGCCCTAAAAAGGCAAGATTTCATTTGAACATTCCAGGTGAATGTTAGGATTTGAAAGGTTCCATCCAGTGAGACTGGGATGCAACTAGGCTTGTTACAAACTGTAATTACTTACACTGGAATCGTCTAGTTTGGTGCATATATTGGATCTTTTAATTTGGATAGGGTACTTTGTTACAGGAATTCTGGGCTCACGTTGCAAAAACAAGTCTTCTCCCCTTTTTCAATAGGGAGCAAGCCATGCTCTGTTTCCCTGACTAGAAATTCTTAAAAGACTTTTCCAGGAAGACAAATATCTTCTAAAATTCAAAACTATTTTTTCTTTAAATACCAATTTATTAAGTTTCTCTGTGTTACTTGCCTGAAAAGTTCCATTTTAAGTAGCCACAGGTTTTCTGGCTGATGGATTTTATAGATATATGGAGTATCCTTAGAATGTGGAAATGTGTCACAGGAGGAAGTGGGGTGTTTTGAGTCTATGGACCATAGCTGCTTTTTCCTAGTCTGCATTTTTGTGCAATCTAGAGATGTCCTCTATGGCTTGTTCTGTCATAAGGTATAATTCTGCTTACTTACTTCTCCAGGGAAGTCAGAATAGGCCAACGATACCAGTACCAAGTGCAGGCTATAGCAGGAGCTGCTATAAGTGAAGCTTCCCCACCTCTATTCCACATCCATGGCTCTTCCTATTGTGGGGATGGACAAGTAAGCAGGTAAGTTTTTGAAGATGACTGCTATAGTACCATAACTTCAACTGTTTGTTTTCCAGGCATACTCCCCAGTCTCATTTATCTTCTTGATTTAAGTGGGACTTACAACAAAATGCTAGCTCAGCCCTTTGTTTTTATCAAAGAAGAATTATTTCTTCAAGTTTGCAACAAAAAGCAGGATAGTTCCATATTAGCTCGGCCTCTGTGGAAGTAAGAATAAATTGATTTTTAAAATTGGGAGTTTATACTGTAGTTTAGCCAGCTGTGTCCTTCCCTGGAGAAGCTGTGGTAAGGAGGTGAAAAAGATAATGCATAGGAGTTCCAAATGCTCTAAGTATTTCATAAATGGTAATAACGTTAATATTATTTTCCTAGGAGTCTTGTAGAGGAATGCGATGATGGAAACCTATTAGAGGGGGATGGTTGCTCGAGAAACTGTAAAAAAGAAAGAGGATACCACTGTATTGGTGAGTCTAGAAACGTCAGCCCACTGCTATTCATTTCATTATAATTTTGCTGTAGCCTTGTCTTACTTACCTATACATTTTTGAATTTTGTATCTGAGATTTGTTAGAGTTCAGAAATTTAAATCTGAATTTAAATTTCACATCAATTGAGCCATTCCCTTTTTAATGAAAAGAGCACTCGGCCTCAGCCCATGACAGCTATGCTCCCAGCACCCCTTCTCTTTATACAAAAGTCTGCCTCTCTACAGTTTGCTATGGGTATTGCTCAAGATACTAGAGATATTTGATTTGTCCTCCCAATAAGAGTACAGGGAGTACCTGACTTATGACCACAATTGAACCCAAAATTTCTGTTAAGTGACACATTTGTTAAATGAGTTTTGCCCCATTTTACAATCTTTTTCGCCATAGTTGCCATGAATCACTGCAGTCGATATGTTAGTAACGTGGTTGTTAAGTGAATCTGACTTCTTCATCAACTTCGCTTGTCAGACGGTCCCAAAAGATGATCACATGACTCCAGGACACAACAGCGGTCATAAATATGAACCAGTTCCCAAGCATCTGAACATTGATCACATGATCCTGGGGATGCTGCAAAGGTCGTAACTGTGAAAAATGGCATAAGTCATATTTTCAGTGCTGTTGTAACTTTGAATGGTCACTAAATGAACTGTTGTAAGTTGAGGACTACCTATATGGCTTTCCTTAAATTTCTTTCCAGTTTGGAGAAAAACAAAACAAAACAAAATCAGAACAATGTTAATAATTGGCATTTAAAAGGATGTAGCTCAAATTTTCCTGGATCAATTTTTATGAAATTTGGAATTCTTCATCTGTTCACTGTGATCTTTTGCAAATGTACCTTTCAGGCATGAGGAGAGGAAGGAAGATTATACCTAAATGATAGATATAAAATTTGAGATTTATCATTCTGGCATATTTTTGACAATTGCAGGTGAACCAAGCCTATGCTATGTCCATGAAGGTGATGGCATTTGCGAGCCGTTTGAGGAAAGGAACAGCATTGTGGATTGTGGTCTCTTTACCCCAAAAGATTATGTGGATCAGTGGGCATCAGATGCCTATGCATCCCACCAAGATGAGAAAACATGTCCAGTGTTCATGGTGATTGGAGAACCTCTTGTGAAGGTGTCTGTTTCCTTCTTTTCTTTCACAAAAATGGCTGTTCTGAACATTCCATGTTTGCCAGCTGTTGATTATGCTTCGAAATGACATAGAATGATAGAATCATAGGACAGAGTGGGGTGGTATGGGATGGAACAGAACGGAATAAAACAGAACGGAACAGAGTGGAATAGAATAGAAAATATATTCTTCAGTAAAATGGAGGAGCAATTTCATTCCCAGAGGATATGAGGCAGTCTGGATTCTGCCACTCCTGTAGTTTTCCCTCAATATGAACAATTCCTTTGTGCCCGAATTTTAGGTCAGTAGTAGACCATGTACTTTATTTACACTTAGATGTTACATTTTTCATCTTTCACATACTAGTTAAAAATTTAAAGAACTGAATTTTGTTTTTGTTTTTGCTTGTTCTCCGGAGGGTTAGGGCCTCATTATTTCCGGTGGTCTGGCTATGTTATGTCAGGTTACAAATGAGAGCTTATATGCTTAAATGCTGTATTGTTTTGTCCAGGCCCTGTATGTCAGGTCACAAGTTTTTCTAGATTCGGAAGCAATAATGTCACCCGCATTAGTGTGTTAGACTTTATTCTAGGGCAATATAAAAAAGCAACATAATGACATAACATGAAACAATCAGAGAACATTCAAGACTTCAAGAAAAATCAGAGAAAGTAAGACAGAGCTATGTGTCTTATGACATTCAGGAAAATCCAGAGAGACAATGCAGGCTGAACTTCTTTACAACTAGCAACCTCCCAGTTAGATCTGCATCAAAGGCCATCCATGTGGATTTCTGACTAATTATGTACTGTAGGCTCTGAATCATCATTACTCACATCTGTTTTTAATGGTCTCATCTCATTGAAGTTTGCCAAGGACAAGCCTATCTTACTTTAAACTTGGCATCTATTCCTGCCAAGCATGAGACCATCAGGGTTAAAGAATATTTGTTTATATCAGATTTCTATAATTTCAAAGTTAAGAAGTATCTGTTTTGCAAGAGTTTTGGTTTGACAATTAAAAAGATCATCCTACTCTACACGAGTGTCTCCCCTCAAAATATATAAACTTAAGAATAACCCTTTAGAGATTAAAATAAATGCTTAATTTTTTATATATATACTTAACCATGGCATGAGAGTGTAAACTTCTATATACCAGCATCTAAGCGCAGGAGATGTGGACCACTATCCAATTCTTCTTCTCCAATCTTCCAGTAAAACCACCAGCATTTTAAATATTTTCTCATAAAATTTCTCCTGCTGCAAGGGTTGGGCAACCAAAGACTTACTAGTTTTGGCTGTGGCTAGCTTGATTTTGTATTGAATAGCAGTCATTAAGATGAATACCATCTACAACTCGGAATGGTACTGCGTGGTTATAGAAATGCTACCACAAGGACTAAATCCCCACAGAGAGAGAGCTGCCCGCATGTAGAAACTACTATGTAAATGATTAAAACTCTGAATACTTTTTTTAAAATGTTCAACTTTTTGCCCTTATTAATTAAATAGAAAAAAAAACCCAGTACAGGTAGTCCTTGACTTACGACCACAATTGAGCCCCAAATTTCTGTTGCTAAGTGAGACATTTGTTAAGTGAGTTTTACCCCATTTTACAACCTTTCTTGCCACAGTTGTTAAGTGAATCACTTCAGTTGGTAAATTAGTAACATGGTTGCGAAATGAATCTGGTTTCCCCACTGACTTTCCCCACTCAGAAGGTCGCAAAAGGGGATCATATGACCTTGGGACATAACAACAGTCATAAATAGGAACCAGTTGCCAAGCATTTGAATTTTGATTACATGATCATGGGGATGCTGGAAAAGTTGTAACTTTGAAAAACGGTCATAAGTCATATTTTTCAGTGCTGTTGTAACTTTGAATGCTCACTAAACAAACTGTTCTAAGTCAAGGACTACAGGTATTAAAAAATAGCAATGTGTGCATATGAGCTTGTCTCTTGTGCATTTAAAGTTTTGCACAATTGTTTTAAAAAAAGATGACCATGTAGGTCAGTGGTTCTCAACCTTTTTAATGCCGCAATCCCCAACCGGTCGTAAGTTGAGGACTACCCAGCTGGTCGTAAGTCGAGGACTTTCCTTGCCTGGGAGCGCCGCGCATGCGTGGTGCTGCCCCCTGCGCCGGCCAAGGCATAGCAGAGACGGCGCAGGCACAGGCCGACCACTGGCTGGGCCACCAGCTGGCCCAGCCCAAGGGAGGTAAGGCACCCGCTGGGCCCCACGCGCGCCAGCAACCCTCCCTGTGCCCGCCGGCCTCCCACCTCCCACCCCTGGCCCTCTTTTACTTACATTTTTAGTAGTTGCTCAGCAGGGAGGGGTGGAAGCTTCCAGACAGCTCACCTTCACTGCAGACAACTTGCAGCACCGTTTGCAGAATGGGACTTTTGGCGGGCTCAGCAGGGCAGAGACAGCCTGGACAATTCCTATTGGCTTTTGAAAGCCAATAGAATTAGACTAATTCAAGAGAGTCTATTCTATTGGCTTTCAAAAGCCAATAGAATAAAAGGGAGTAGCACAGCTAAGGAAAAGGGGAAAAAATGGCGGACTGCGTTGTTTGGCGACCCCCGTGAAATGGTCGTTCGACCCCAAATGGGGTCCCGACCCACAGGTTGAGAACCACTGATGTAGGTAGACCTCGTGTTACGACGGCAATTGGGCTGGATTTTCTGTCACTAAATAATGCAATCATAAAGTGTGACATTACCTGACTGCATCGCTTGGTGTGGCAATCCCAGCAGTTCCGATTGCTGTCATAACCCTGAGACCACATGGGTCATTAAATGGGAAGTGATGGAAGTCCAGGGGAAGTAGACCAGCAGATACTGTGAGAGCAAGGATGCCATGGGCAGGTGTGTGTGTATGTGTGTGTGTAAACAAAAGTTTTTTTAAAAATAGAACTTCTGAAAGAAACAACAAAAAATATCATTTAGTTATTTCTAGTTCTGAATTCCAGTACTTTTATTAGGTCATTTCAGGGTCACAAATATTGCACATATTTCCAAACTGAGCTGACTTAAGTATTTTTCCTAATATGAATTTTGGATTTTTGTTATGGTTCCCTTGCTTTTCATATTGTTTCTGATGTGATAAAACTGTGTCTCTCCAACTCCGAGAAGCACTGAAAATCTCTCTCTCTCTCTCTCTCTCTCTCTCTCTCTCTCTCTCTCTCTCTCTCTCTCTCTCTCTCTCTCTTTTTAGGTGTGCAGGCCCCATCATCAGGAGACTCTGGAGAGTGAATCACAACTGGCTTGGTTTCCTTGTATGAAAAATGATGTTCTTCAGGATACAGACATGGAGAAAACACATTTGAATGACAGAATTTGGCTGAAGGTGAGTGGATTTGGCAGTCACATAATGAACACGTATTGAGAAAAAAATGGCAGTTAATATGTGCATGCCAATCTCCAGGTTGATCATACTGAGTTTTGGCAGTTAACTATGGTTTAACTGCTAAGCATTATAAACTGCTAAATGCTAATCTTCTGCTTCACTACAACTTTGGATGCCTTATAATCCCTGATGTTTTACTGGGCTCTTATTGTCTTTTTCTCCAGAACTATTTGTGGGAGGAAAAGCCCAACTCACTGTGAATGAGAGATGAAAGAGTCCTTTTATTTATACATAGTGCTGCTACATGATGCTTTTTCTTACAATTTTAATCACCTCATATGTTCCCCCAGCTAAATATTTGCAAAGAGCAACCAAAATATTTTTTTAAGATGTAAATTTCATTTTAGACATTTAGTGTGGTAAACACTTCTGTGTGAATGCTGACATCCAGGACTCTCTAGTTGAAGAGTTCCTTGAACTGTTGCTGGGACAAGGACATATTCTTTAGTTTTGCATTGTTTTAAGCACATTCTTTGACTTGACATGATCAACCACAGTCAAGCAAATTTCTATAGTCAGCGAAGCAGAGGACCTTTTTTTGGTGTTGTTTGCCTTTTTCAATTATCCAGCGTGCATCAGCAATACTTTCTCATGTTTGTTGGCCTTTTCTGACATCTCCATTTCCATATAAATGTAAGGACCCACCCCACTTTGCATCTTAAGAAGACAGAACTCTTGGAATAATTCTTCCAACAGAAATCCTTTATTAAGAGAAGTGGTTGCAGGCATGCTAGACAGGACTTGGGGTTCAAGCTCTTCCATTCAAGGTTTTAAGGGGTTCCCCAGTAGTCCCACCCAATCAACCCCCCTTCCAGTGATAGTTTCAAGTATCACAATTCCACCCTCTTTCTTCTTTCTTCCGTCTGGATGGAGAATTCAGATAACTACATGAAAGGCAAATACTCTCCTTTGGTATGCTAACACTTCGAGGTTACAATAAACACACATTCAACATTCAGCCCTTTGAAGTGTACTGAAGGAAGTGAGGGCAATAAAGCCCCTTTGTTCTCCCCCTTCTCTCCCTCTTATGGCAGAATCCAGAGATGGCAGAATTGGGAGTTTCTATATTTGATAATTAAAGATGAAATATACTTGGATTCTGACATCCGGCCCCTCTTAACAATAAGAGAGATCCACCTGAAAGAAAACACAAGTATAAAATTTAGTCAGGCTTGTTAGGATACTCTGTGTGAAACTTCTTCAATAGCTTCGGGGCTCTGACATGACGTTTATGGACCCATTCATTTTGTGAGGGAGGGAGGTGTTTCCAGGCAACTAGGTACTGAGTTGCCCCATGATATCTCCTAGAATCAAGGATTTCCTTTATTTCGAAGTGTTGTTCACCCTCCACCATGAGTGGAGGTGGTGGTGGGGGGATTTTTGGCCGTAGAGGTGACTGATGCTCTCTTTTCAGCAAGCTGCAATGAAAAATTGGGTGTATTTGCCTGAGATTTTTGGGTAATTCTATTTCTACTGTTACTGGATTTATGATTCTTTTAATTGGAAAAGGTCCTATGTATTTTGGTCCAAGTTTTTTACAGGGCTGTAGGGACTTTAGGTATTTTGTAGATAAGTACACCATTTCTCCTATAATGAATGGTGTAGGCTCAACCCTTTTTTTATCGGCTTCTGCTTTGTATGCCCGCCTAGCTTCATCTAGTGATTTTCTGACTATTGGCCAGGTGTTTTGTAGGTTTTCCATCCATTCTTTCAGTGAATGGATCGTTGGTTCTTTTGGGGTTAACTCTGGCATAGGGTTGAAACTTTGGCCGTTGGCTATTTGAAAAGGAGTGTAGCCTGTGCTGGAGTGGACTGCATTATTGTAGGCAACTTCTGCAAAAGGAAGTAAGTCCGTCCAATCACTCTGTTGAAAATTTAAAAAACATCTCAAATATTGCTCAAGTACCGACTGGCAGCGTTCCGCTTGTCCATCCCCTTGAGGGTGGTGGCTAGATGTCAATCTCTGAGTGGTCCCTAAGAGGGATAAAAATTCCTTCCAAAATGCAGATGTAAATTGCACTCCCCTATCAGAGATGATGCGTTGGGGTGCCCCGTGCAATCTGTAAATGTGCTGGATGAAAAGTTTTGCTAAGGCCTTTGCAGTGGGAATCTTTTGGCAAGGGATAAAGTGCACCTGTTTGGAAAATAGGTCCGTGACTGTCCAGATAACAGTATTCCCATTGCTTTCTGGCAATTCCACTATAAAATCCATGGCTATTTCCCTCCAGGGGGCTGAGGGACTTGCCACTGGTTGTAATAGCCCTGGCGATTTCCCTTGCAACCTCTTTGCTGATGCACAGGTTGGGCAGCTGGCAACATAACTTTCTATGTCCTTTTTTATTGATGGCCACCAAAATTGCCGTTTAATTAAGTGTAAAGTTTTTACAAATCCAAAATGCCCTGCTGATTTTGTGTCATGGCAAAGGTGCATGAAAGTTAGTCTTTGAGTTGTTGGTATATATAACTTTTCCCCTACCCAAGGCAATCCGTCTCTCATTGTGCACACATGTTTGTTTTTCTGGAACCATTCATCTGTTTCCAAACTTTTTCTGAATTCAATCCCAGTTTGGCTGTCCAGTTGTGGTTTTATTTTGGCTTGGGTTCTTGTGGTTACTGGCGCTGCCAGTTGTGACTCTGCCATTATTGGTCTAGAGTCTGTGGTTCGTGCGCTGTTATATTGGGGCATGCGAGATAGTGCATCTGCCAGGAAGTTCTTTCTTCCTGGTAAATGTTTGAGCTTAAATTGGAATTGGTGAAAATGCTGGGACCAGCGGGCTTGTTTGGGATTGAGTTTCCTGGAAGTTTTCAGGGCTTCTAAATTTTTGTGATCAGTCCACACCTGGAAGGGGATTTTGTTGCCTTCCAGGAACTGTCGCCACGTGAGTAATGCCCAACGTATCCCATAAGCCTCCTTCTCCCATACGGGCCAGCGCTGTTCTGTTTCCGTGAGTTTCTTGGATGTATATGCACAGGGTTGCAATACTGCATCATCATTTTCTTGTAATAGCACAGCCCCCACTGCCACATCACTTGCATCTGCCTGTATTATGAAGGGCTTGTCCATGTCTGGGTGCCTTAGTACTGGTTCGGCAGAAAAAAGTCTCTTTAGTCTCTCAAACGCTGCTTGGCACTCCATTGTCCATGTTAGTGGCTGGCTAGGTTTTACTGAGGATGTTCCCTTCGTTTTTAGTAAGTTAGTGAGGGGCAAGGCTATCTGTGCAAATGAGGGGATGAATTGGCGGTAAAAATTTGCAAAGCCCAGGAAACTTTGTAGTTGCTTTCTTGTGCGGGGTGGTGCCCAATTTAGTACTGCTTTGACCTTCTCTGGGTCCATTTCAATGCCCTGTGGGGATATGCGATAGCCTAGGTAGTCTATCCTTTCCTGGTGGAATTCGCATTTTGAGAGTTTGGCATATAGGTGAGCGGCTCGCAGCTTCTTTAAAACCGCTCTGACAAGTTTGACGTGTTCTTCTTTTGTTTCGGTAAAGATAAGAATGTCGTCCAAGTAAACAAGGACCCCCTTAAATAGGTGCTCCCTTAGAACGTCATTGATTAATTGCATAAAGACTGCAGGGCCCCCTTGTAATCCAAATGGCAAGACTTTGAATTGATAGCACCCCATGGGGCAGTTAAATGCAGTCTTCCATTCGTCCCCTTCCTTGATTCTCACGCGATAGTAAGCTTCCCTTAAGTCTAGTTTAGAAAAAATTTTCCCTTTCGATAGGTGTGACAGCATGTCTTTCATGAGGGGCAGCGGGTATAGGTTGCTTTCACTGATTGTATTCAGGGCCCTATAATCCACGCATAAACGTAAAGAGCCATCCTTCTTCTCTCTAAAAAGGACCGGGGCAGCCACTTTAGGCTTGGCTGGCTCAATGAAACCTCTCTCCAGGTTTTTTTTTATAAATCTTTCCATTTCCTCCTTCTCCTTTGGGCTCATGGAGTATAATCTGGGCTTCGGGAGTTTTGCCCCAGGCTTGAATTCAATGGTACAGTCTGTGGGTCGGTGGGGGGGAAGCTCATTCGCCCTCTCCTCACTGAAGACTTCAGCAAGGTCCCTATATTCCTCTGGTATTTCTGTTAATCTTTTTTCCTCTCCTATGGATGCTTTTTCTATTCTTGATTCTGGTAGCCTCCCTTGGGGTTTTAAGTCCATAGGGTCCCCCTTCGGGAATTTGATTTCTGTCGTCCTCCAATTTACCCAGGGGTTCCATTTTTTCAACCATTCCATCCCTAGAATCATTGGGCATTCCATACCTGGGGTCACCACAAACGTTAAGTCCTCTTCATGGTTGCCCAGGGAGAGGTGTATTGGCAGAGTGGCTAGGGTAGCTGGCACCCCCCCTGCTATGGATCCATCTAGCTGGCCAAATGAGATTGGTTGTTCCAGTCTCCTGGATGGGATGCCCAGATTCCCCACTAGTGTTGGGCTAATGAGGCAGCGGGTGCAGCCAGAGTCTATTAAGGCTTTCACCTTCACAGCTTCGGGCATGGGGGGGATTAATATAGTCACTGTTTTGAAGATGGGTGTGATGCATCCACTTACCAGGGGTTCGCCCTCCGAGCTGTCATCTGAGGCATCCACCGGCCCTGTGGTGTAGGCTGGAGTTCTTTCCCCTTGGTGAGCAGAGGTGGGGGTTTCTGCAATTTCCATCATTCTCATGGCTGTTTCTTTTGGCTTAGCTGAATACTCTCTGGGTTTGTTGATTGGGGATCTGTCTGGGTTGTGCTGGGGGGCCTTTGAGCGGCATTCTACAGCTCGATGCCCTTCTCTTCCGCACTTGAAACACCCCATTTGCTTCTTGGCTGTATCCGATGATTTCACCGGTTGGTGTGTCAGCTCAGGCGGGGGGCGGCTCCATTGTTTTCTTCGGTGGTGCCTCTTCAATATGTCGATCTCTGCTTCCTCTGCCAAGACGTACCATTCCTCAAGTCGATGT